GTGGTCTCTGATTACTGCAACTTCTGCCTCCTGGGTTCAAGCAATGCTCCCTCCTCAGCCTCCTGAGTAGCTGTGATTATAGGCACATGCCACCACATCTGGCTAGTTTTTGCATTTTTAGTAGAAACAGGGTTTCACTATGTTGGCCGGGCTGGTCTGGAACTCCTGACCTCGTGATGCACCTGCCTTGGCCTCCCAAAGTACTGTGATTAGTGAGCCACTGTGCCTGGCCTTCCCTATTTATTTCTATCAGCCCCTCGTTTCTCTTGGAAAACTTGGTGCCATATAAGGAAAAAATAAAATAAAATAAATTCAAAAAGCCTGGGATCCCTTAAGAAAAACACAAAATGCACCACAGACTCATTTTTGTGAAAAACTGCTGTATTTTCCTCAGGGAAACCCGAGAGGAAATCCAAGAGAGGACAAAGACCTCTCAGATCTAAAACTCTGTTCCTTTGCATTGCGTGACCTAATTTTTGCTTTGGATGGCATTAGAAATTACTTTGTATTGTGAGAATACTTAATATAATGGCTGGGAAATCGGCTGATCACAGAGTGGGCTGATTGGCACTCGGTTGCCCCTAGCCTTGAGAGAATGTTTTTGTAGCAAAACACACTGTGAAAATATTGCATGGCCAAGTCCCCAAGGCATTGCTGACTTTTTGAGAACCCAAAATTCAGTGTGGGCTCTACCCTGAATCCAATGGTCCAGTTAAAAGATACAGACCAAACTAAAAGCACCTATCTAAATCCTATTGATCTGTTTATAAGATCCTATAATAGGCTGGGCGTGGTGGCTCATGCCTGTAGTCCCACCACTTTGGGAGGCTGAGGTGGGCAGATCATGAGGTCAGGAGATTGAAACCATCCTGGGTAACATGGTGAAACTTGTCTCTAGTAAAAATTTAAAAAAAAAATTGGCCAGGCATGGTGGTGGGTGCCTGTAGTCTCAGTTACTCGGGAGGCTGAGGCAGGAGAATCATTTGAACCCAGGAGGCAGAGGTTGCAGTGAGCCAAAATTGTGCCACTGCACACCAGCCAGGCAAGGCATGGTGGCTCCTGCCTGTAATTTCAGCACTTTTCAAAGCTAAGGTGGCATGATCACTTGGCTTCAGCAGTTGGAGACCAGCCTGGTAACACAGAAAAAAGAAAAACATTAGCTGGGCATGGTGGTGAGCCTCTGGAGTCCTAGTGTCTACACTAGACAAACGTGTACACAGATTAAAAAAGGGTCACCAGAGAATAGCCAGCCTGCCTGCACACTGGGAGAATGGGGTGGAGCTTTCATAAATTCACACCTTCAGCAGGCAGGGAGAAGTTTGGTCACTTCAGCTTGTGTTGTGGTGGCCTGGAATTCAATCTGTGAGGTGGGGTTCTGTCAACAGGACTCCCTCTCAATTTGTAAGAGGTTTTTTTCCCTTTCTTTCTATTTCCTTTTCACCCAATAAATTCTGCTCTACTTACCCCTCAATGTGTCCATGAGCCTAGTCTTTCCTGGTCATGTGACAAGAACCCAGTTATAGTTGAACTAAGGAGGAAAATTCTGCAACACTAGCTATCAGGAGGCTGAAGAAGCAAAATTGCTTGAGCCCAGGAGTTCAAGGTTACAGTCAGCTAGGATCACGCCACTGCACTCCAGTATGAGTGACAGAGGATGACCCTATCTTCAAAAAAATAAAAATAAAACAATAATATTGGCAAATAAAGAATCTTATAAATGTATAAGATCTACTTCCGTGTGCCCATATGTGTACGTATTTACATGAGTCATGGGCTTATGTGATGGTTCCATTACCAAAATACATAGAAGAGCTCTAATAAATTGGCTTAAAGTAACAGCAGACCAGGAGCGATTGCTCATACCTGTAATCTCAGCACTTTGGGAGGCCAAGGCAGGTGGATCACCTGAGATCAGGAGACCGAGACCAGCCTGGCCAACATGATGAAATTCCATCTCTATTAGAAATGTAAAAAATCAGCTGGGTGTGGCGGTGGGTGCCTGTAATCCCAGCTACTCTGGAGGCTGAAGCTGAAGAATTACTTGAACCCAGGAGGTGGAGGTTGCAGTGAGCTGAGAT